ATTCTCTTCCAGGCACGCTTTCACACATAAAACTCTTACTCATCCTTCAGAGGTCAGCTTAACTTATGTCCTCCTTAGAGAAGCCCTCCGTGACCTACGTCCTTCCAAACAGAGTTTGGTCACCCTATTAATCAGTTCTCACATATCCTAGACTTTTCCTTATCAGTACTTTGCACTTAAAATTATTTGATTAAGGGGCTGGCCCCGTGGCCGAGTGGTTAAGTTCGCCCGCTCCGCTGCAGGAGGCCCAGTGTTTCGTTGGTTCGAATCCTGGGCGCGGACATGGCACTGCTCATCAAACCACGCTGAGGCAGCGTCCCACATGCCACAACTAGAAGGACCCACAACGAAGAATATACAACTATGTACTGGGGGGCTTTGGGGAGAAAAAGGAAAAAAATAAAATCTTTAAAAAAAAATTATTTGATTAATTACTTATTATTTGTTTAAAGTCTGCCTTCCTTAATAATTTGGCAATCTTTATCAAGACAGGGGACTATATTGTTTATCACTATTATCTGCAATATCTAGCACGATGCCTAACATAGTGTTGGTCTGTAATAAGTATATGATTAGTTGATTGATTACCTGTAGAGTCCAGGATCCTAACCTAAGTAACAGTGCTCTGAGGGAAAATGCATCGAGTTCTAGCAGGGGTTCTACAAACCCATCCTTCTTTTCTCCTCTTTTCTCAACCACACTTCTTTCATTTTCTCTCTCTCTTGCTCCCTTCATACACACAGAAATATTATCCACAGTCTCCAGCCTTCTGTAGAAAGTCTCCAATTTGTGACTGGTGTTGGAAGGAGTGTGAACTTGAAGGAGGACTGGGTCAAGGACCTAGGGTGAGACATCTTGGGGTCAGGCTTTTATCTGAGTATCTCTCAGATAAGAATAGAGATTCTCCAGACTCTGAAGTTTTAGGGGTTTTTTTTTTGGTTCTAGCAAAGATACAGGAAGCACAATCAAACCAACCACAATCTTTTTTTTTTTCTTTTGATGAAGATCAGCCCTGAGCTAACATCTGCTGCCAAGCCTCCTCTTTTTGCTGAGGAAGACTGGCCCTGAGCTAACATCCATGCCCATCTTCCTCTACTTTATATGTGGGACGCCTACCACAGCATGGCTTGCCAAGCAGTGCCATGTCCGCACCCAGGATCCAAACTGGCAAACCCGGGGCTGCCGAAACGGAGCATGCAAACTTAACCGCTGCACCACCGGGCCAACCCCCAACCACAATCTTATACTTTATTTTATCAGGATTATGTAGAAAAAGACCAAATCTACTCTCGGCCACTAGTATTGAGTCTGTGTCTTAAATACAAAGGTCTGAAGGAGTGGAATCTGTGAGTTGTAGGATTTGCATAATTTCAGCCAAGGTGATTATTCTGATTTACTGCCACCAGCAGTACATGAGAATTCCTACTGTTTTGTATTCTTGACAACTCTGGTATTACCTGACTGACATGTTTACCAGTCTGGCGGCTGAGAACGCTGTCTCACGGTAGATTTATCTTGCAGCTCCCTGATTGCTAATGCAGTGGTGTGCTAGAGTTGGTGCCCACAAGCCAGTGACATCACACTGTGACTGCGTTCAGTGACATCACATTGGTAGTTTGAATCACCGTGTGATGTTTGCCCCATGGAAATCAGAAAACACTACACATCTGGGCTTTCCCTGCTGGAGAGCCCGTTATCAAAGATTACCAGTATCCCACTGCTGATACGGCTATTTTCTCATGTATTTAGGAGCTTTTGTGTTTCCTTATCTTAGTTGGCTTGGGCTAATGTAACAAACTCCCACAGACAGAAATGTATTTCCCACAGTTCTCGAGGCTGGGAAGTCTAAGCTCAAAGTGCCCGCACATCTGCCATCTGCTCCGAGCCTGCTTCCTGGTTCATAGACCACTGTCTTTTCGCTGTAATCTCACATGGTGGAAAGGGTGAGGGTTCTCTCTGGGGTCCCCCTTACCCAGATGCTAATCCTCATAGTGGAGCCCTCATGACCTAAGCGCCTCCCCAAAGCCTCACCTCCTAATACTGGGAATTAGGTTTTGATGTATGAATTTTGGGGGGACACGAACATTCAGGCTATGTCATACTTGTGTTAACTGACATGAGCAGCTTTACAAGGCAAAAATAAAGTTTTAAGGAAAATGGAGGATGAAAAAAAGAAGAAAAGAAGAAAAAGAAAAAAAAAGAGAGGGGGCCGCCCCGTGGCCGAGTGGTTAAGTTCGCGCACTCTGCTTCGGGGCCCAGGGTTTCCCTGGTTTGGATCCTGGGCACGGACCTAGCGCCACTCATCAGGCCATGCTGAGGAGGCATCCCGCACGCCACAACTAGAAGGACCCACAACTAAAATATACAACTATGTACTGGGGGGATTTGGGGAGAAAAAGCAGGAAGAAAAAAAAAGATTGGCAACAGTTGTAGCTCAGGTGCCAATCTTAAAAAAAAAAAAGAGAGAGAAAAGCGAGGCTTTATAAACAGGTTGGCAAACTGCGGAAGTACACCTCAACCTGCTAGTTGATAGATGAGCCCCGCTCCTGGGCTTTCTAGATGTCCTAACTACCGGGAAAAACTACTGCATTGTTCTCTGGCCATCTGGTGACAGTCAAGGTTAAAATGTAATTTACTTCTGTCCGTAGCTCAGCCTTCAGGTAGTCATTGTAACTGTCACATCGACTCTGGCCTGGTTCTTTTCTCTTTCTTTTATCACCTGTTTGTGTCTTTTGCCTATTTTTTAAAAATTGGGCTTTTTTTCTTTTTAATTCATTCACAGTTGTTCTTTATATATCATAAATACTAACCCTTAATCAGGATTAGTTAAACAAATATCTTCTTCCAGAATGCAGCTTATGTTTTAATTCTCTCATTGTGTGTTTTGATGACTAGATATTCTTCATTTTAATACAGGTGAATTTATCACTTATTTTGTCTTCTTAAATTAATCCAAGTAATATTTTTTTTCTATTTTGACTACTAAAATTGTTGTAGTTTTGTCTTTAAGTTTTTGATCTGCTCAGAATTAATGTTTTTTCTGTGAAAATAGTCAGTTGCTCCAGTACCGTTTTTTAAATAATCCTTCCTCTCTCCCTCACCCCCCTCCTCTGATCTGCAGTGTGTGCTCCACCAAAAATCAAAATTCCAGGCCGGCTGGGTGGCACAGCGGTTAAGGTTGGCACATTCTGCTTTCGCAGCCCTGGGGTTCACCAGTTCAGATCCTGGGTGGGGACATGGCATCAGTCGGCAAGCCATGCTGTGGCAGGTGTCCCACATATAAAGTAGAGGAAGATGGCATGGATGTTAGCTCAGGGCCAGTCTTCCTCAGCAAAAAGAGGAGGATTGGCAGCAGATGTTAGCTCAGGGCTGATCTTCCTTGAAAAAAAAAAAAAATCAAGTTCCTATGTATAGGCGGGTCTATTTCTGGATGTTTTTTCTGTTGCACTGGTCTATTTCTGTGTCAATACCACATTATCTTAATTACTCTGGCTTATTATGTCATAATATCTAGTAGAGAAGAAAGAACCTCCCTTGTTCTTCATCAGGAATGTATAGGTTACTCTTGGGTATTTGCTCTTCCATATAAATTTAGGTAATGCTTATAGATCTAAGAATTGATATCTTTAACAATGTTGAGTCTTCCCATCTAAGAACACAGTGTATCTCTCCAGTTATTAAGGTCTTCTATAAAGTCTTTCAAAAAAGTTTTATAATTTTCTACATAAAGAGTTTGCATATCTTTGCTACCAAATATTTATTTTGAAATCCTTCATATTTTTGATGCTATTGTAAATTATATCTTTTGAAACATAAAAATGTTAAAAAAAATATTTTTAAAAATGTTAAAATTTTGCTGGTATATATAGCAATGCAGTTAATGTTTGTATATTTATTTTGTATCTAGTAGCCTTGGTAAATTTTCTGATTAATTTTTAAAAAATTATCTGTAGATTCTTTCATGGTTTCTACATAGACAGTCATATTATCTGTAAACAATATCTTTGCTTCTTCCTTTTCAAATCTTATACTTTATATTTCATATTACCTTTTTGTATTTTTCAGAATCGCAGTAAAATGATGAATAGAAGGATGTTAGGGCATCCATGTTTTGTTCTTGCTGTTAAAAGGACTTTCAGTTTCTCATAATTAATTACACTGTTAGTTCTAGGTTTTGTTTTGTTTTTTAAAAAAATCATTAGTGGAGGGGCAGGCCCTGTGGCAAGGTGCTTAAGTTCGCACACTCTGCTTCGGCAGCCCAGGGTTTGGCCTGTTCAGATCCTGGGCACGGACGGCTCATCAGCCATGCTGAGGCGGCATCCCACATGCCACAACTAGAAGGACCCACAACTAAAAATACACAACTGTGTTCCTGGGGGGCTTTGGGGGAGAAAAAGGAAAAATAAAATCTTAAAAGAAAAAAAATCGTTAGTGGATGTTGAATTTAATTAAGGAATTTTTCCTTTTCTATGGAGGTGATCATATGGTTTGGTTCTTTTAAAGTGTTAATATGATGATATAAATCAATTAATATTAAAATAATATAAATGAAACTTGTACTGTTGGTGTAACCTGAATAGGTCAGGGCTTATTATATTTTTTATACTTTGTGGGATTTGGTTTGCTAATATTTTGTTTAGGAATTTTTTTTTTTTATTAAAGATTGGCACCTGAGCTGACAACTGTTCCCAATCTTTCTTTTTCTTTTCTGCTTTTTCTCCCAAATGCCCCCAGTCCGTAGTTGTATATTTTAGTTGTGGGTCCTTCTAGTTGTGGCATGTGGGATGCCGCCTCAGCATGGCCTGATGAGGGGTGCCATGTCTGAGCCCAGGATCTGAACTGGCAAAACCCTGGGCCGCCGAAGCGGAACACATGAGCTTAACCACTCGGCCACGGGGCGGGCCCCTGTTTAGGAATTTTGTGTTTATGTTCATGAGTGAGACTGGCCTGTGATTCTCCTGTCTAGACATTTTATATTTTATCTCTTACTTTGGTTTCAGGGTTATGCCAACATACAATGAATTGAGGAGTGTTTCTTTTTTGTTCTGTTCTTCGAAAGAGTTTGTGTAAGTTTGGGTTTATCTATTCCTTGAATACTGGTAGAACTCGCTTCTCTTGTGGTTTTTTTCTGGAAATGTTTAATTTATTGGTTTAATTTACTGGAATGGTTACAAGACCATCCAGGATTTTAATTTCTTCTTGATTGAGTTTTGATAAAATGTATTTTTTTTTTTTAGAAATTATAGTTTCATCTCCGTTTTCGAAGATCACATCGTTTTTCAGGAAATTCCTTGTTATTAATCTCCACGGCATTTGCAGTTATGGCCAACTTTTCATCCCCCAAAATTGTTTATGCCCTCTCTTTATTTCTTGATTGTTCTCCCCAGAGATTTGTCTACTTTACAGGTCTCCTCAAAGAACCAAATTTTGGCTTTGTTTATCCTGTAAAAAATTTGTTTCTTATTTAAATATTTTCTACTATTTTTTTTCTTCTTTTACTTCCTTTGGATTTATTTCGATTTTTCCCCAACTTTGTAAGTTGGATGTTTAGCTCATTAATTTGGAAGATTTTTTTTTCTACTCTAAGCATAAGGGCTCTGCACTTAATTAGCTTAACTAAGTTAAGCAGAGCATGTGAACGTAACTAAGTCAATTAAATTTATAACTACTGTTTTTGCTACTTCCCTAATGTTTTATATGTAGAATTTTCATTACAATAATTTGTATTATAGATTTCATTTTATTTTTTCTTTGACTTATACTTTTAAAAATGTATGTTTAAACAATTTTCCAAATGTGTAGAACTTAAAATTTTTCTCTTAAAAACACTTCATGTATGCTTGAACTTTCTATCTTCCTTCGCTCTGTATTAATTTCTCTAATATAAATTCCAAGTTTTTGCATTTTTGATGATTTTCGCTACATGCTTTATAGTTCTTCTATGGTAAGTATATCAGAGAATGGTAAGGAAATTAGATCTCTTTCATAAACTTCAAAGGAGGCAACTCTATGTGGATAAGAGGCATTACTCACAAAGTATCAGTTAACTTTTTAAGTTATCTTTTGTCATGGTTTGTAAATAACTCATTGCATTTTGCAGAATATATGGTCTTTGTTGTTCCTTTTTTATTTTTGGAGGCTAACTTTATCACTAAGCATAGAGCCAAGTTTTGTATATGTTCCATGTGCCTGAAAAGAATGTGAATCCTCTTATGTGAAATGTTCTTTACATATCCTTGAGGTCACACTTTATGATTATGCTATTCAGTTCTCTGAGTTTTGTCTGATTTATTAATTGTTGATAGAGGTATGTTACAAATATCCCATGATGGTAGATTTGCCAGTTTCTCCTTGTTGTTCTCAATTTTTGCTTATATATTTTGAGGTGGTTATTAGATGCATAGAAGTTTAGAATTGTTTTATCTTCATAGTGAAATGACTCTTTTATCATTATATGGTAACTCGATTTATTTCCAATAATTCCTTTTGTTTTGAACTTGTAACTAACGTAGCTATAACACTTTTTAAAAAAATATCTTTTTTCCATTCATTGATTTTCTTAATTCTTATGTCTCTTTAAACACTTTTTGCTCAATACTTAAAAATCCAATTAAAAAATTTGGGGGCACTTGGCTTATTTACATTCATTATGATGACTAATATTTTACATTTCTTTCTGTCATTATATTATGTGATTCCCCCCTATTTTTTCTTCTGTTTTGCTGTCTTTGGGTTAATATTTTTCCCTCTGCTCGTTGGATGATGTATGCTCTTTGTCTCTTCTTTAAGTGGGTACCCTAAATATTTTAATTTGCCTACTTAACAGAGTCTAAAGTTAACCAACATTTTTTTCTCTCCTTGAACAAATTGAAGACCTTGTAATGGTTTAAGTTCAACACCCACCCCCCCCTCAACATCTACCAATTATGTTATTTTTGTTTTAACATCCCTTGTACAAATTAAGCATTATTATTATTCTTTTGTATACAGTCAGTTTTGCCTAGCTTTGCCTATTATTTTCAATATCTTTGCTTAACATTTCTTCTTGCATCTCTGACCTTCTCTCTGGGATCATTTTTCCTCTGCTGAGACTTTATCTTTTATAATTTCTTTTAATGATGATCTATTGGTGATAAACTCTCTCAAGTTTTATCTGTTAGGTTAGGGTTAGGGTTAGGGTTAGGGTTAGGGTTAGGGTTAGGGTTAGGGTTAGGTGTTTATTTTGCCTTAGTGCTTTCTGTCTTTTTTTTTTTGGTGAGGAAGATTGGCCCTGGGCTAACATCTGTTGCCAATCTTCCTCTTTTTGCTTGAGGAAGATTGTCACTGGGCTAACATCTGTAGCAATCTTCCTCTATTTTATACGTGGGGTGCTGCCACAGCATGGCTTGATGAGTGGTGTGCAGGTCCACGCCCAGGATCTGAACCTGCAAACCCCGGGCCACTGAAGTGGAGTGTGTGAACTTAAGCACTACGCCACTGGGCTGGCCCCCTTTTGTCTTACTCTTGAAAGATAGTTCCACAGAGTGCAGTCATGAGTCACTTAACAGTGGGGATACATTATGAGAAATGCGTCATCAGGCAATTTTGTAATTGTGCAAACATCATAGAGTATACTTAACACACTTGGATGGTATAGCCTACTACACACCTAGGCTATATGGTACTAATTTTATGGGACCACCATCATATAGGTGGTCTGTTGTTGACTGAAATGTCATTACGCAGCACATGACTATGTAGCATTCTAGGTTGACAATTGTTTTCTCTCAGCTCATGGAAGATACTCTTTTGGCTTCATAGCTGCTGGTGAGAAGCCAGCAATCAGCTGAATTGCTGTATTTTTGCGTGTAATCACTCTTTCTGGATGCTTTTAAGATGAAACTTTTTCTATGTAGCTCTGCAGTTTCACCATAAGGTGTTTGTGTATATTTTTGCTTATCATACTTGGGATTCGCTGGGATTCCAAGATCTGATGTCTGAATAACTCTCGGTTGTTACCATTATTACCTCTTTCCCACTGTTTTATTATCTCCTTTTTCTACTTCAGTTGGGCATATATTAGACATTCTCATCATGTTCTCTGTGTCTCTTGACCTTTATTTCATCGTATATTCCATCTCCTTGTCTCTGTGAGCTGTGTTTGGGATCATTAATTCAGATATCTTCTAGGTCATTAATTCTTTCTTTGGCTGTGTTTAATCTTATGTTTAATCCATCCATTGAATTTTTAATTGTTATTTTTTGAAGTTCTTATTTTTTCATTAAAATCTGCCTAGTCTTTTTATAATCTCATATTTCCTGTCTATATCCCAGCTTAAGTTTTATTTCTTTAAACATATGAAGTAATTTTAATATTCCACATTTAACATGTTTTATTTTTTATTTCTCCTGGTTCTCACTAGTGGTGCCTTGTTTCTGTGTGTATTTTTAGTTTTGATTATGAGCTGCTTATTACCTTTAAAATTTTTTTGGTAGGATTTATTTTAAGGTCAGAAAAGCAGAACCAATTGAGACAATTTTAAATTGAATTCTCTCCTTGAGTTTTTTTTTATCTTTTTAAATCAGAGGTAATGTGATTTTGGGTCACAAACCCACTTGAAGGTAGCTTGTGGTTACATCCCAGGGAAGACTTTTTTCCCTTCCCCTCCACTCAGTGCCAAGAAGAAGACAAAACATTTCTTCGTTATCCCCTTCTGTGCAATAAGATTTATTTCTCCTTCACTGTTCCCATGAAGGTATAGCCCTTTGTGGTCATAGTTTCCCCCCTGGCTGAGTCCAGGCTCTTCCCTCCCACACTGGGAACTTGTCAAAACAAAAGCTCAAAGTCTGCAGGATTCAGCAGAAACTTTCAGCCAGCTTTGCTACTCATTTGCCCCTGAGGAGTCCTGCTTTCCCTTTGTTTGGTATCTATAGGTTCCTTTCTTTTGTGTGTAGATGAGTGGTATTTAAAGTTATTTAACCATATTTGATCCAGTGTATTAATTGTTTTAATAAGGCATGCCATTCATGGTATCTAATCTGCCATACCTGGAAGCCCTGGGTTTGTACAATCAAGGTAAAACTGCCCCACTTCTCCTGGGTTTGATATGAGTGAGATGAGAAATCCCGGGAAAGAAGAAAGACAGAAGTCCGTGCATTTAGTACTTACTAGTTTGTGACTCTCTGTAGTTAAATGGTAGGTTTATCAACACCGCCAAGTCCTGCATGTGAGTTGCAAGAAAGGGGGGGGGGGAGCAGAAGGAAGAATAGGAAATGTCTTCTCAGATGTGTAAGATGACTTTTCATCCCTCTTTTCTTATTTACACCATATGGCAAATTGATCAGTAGTTTTGTAATATTAAAGAGAAAACTGAGGATCCTGATTACAGTTGGAACAGGGCAAGATGTGGAATTTCTTAGAGGTAATATATTTGTGATATAAGAAAATATTAGTATTGGATTAAAAAATGACACTGTATTCTATGAACTCGATAACTATAACATAATATAATGTATTAAAAATAAAATAATTTATTAGGCTTAGAAATAACACACTAACTGCAAGAAAATGAAATGTAATAGTAATTGAGAGGGCTCGGAACCGAGGAAGTACGTTTCAAAGCTTTTTAAAAGGAAAGCACACCAGGTAAAGGGAGGAAGTCATGCTCCAAGGGGGTCTTTCGGAGTTCGAGATGAGGGTTTCCAAGCTAGGAAGAAGGTGGAGCAAAGGCAAAATGTCTAAGCTAGCTGGTCTGCAGTTTATTTAAACTGGACTGAACGATGAGCTGAGCTGAGGTGACAGAATTTTTAAGGCATTTGAATGTAAGACCACAATAGTGTGGATGCTGAAGTCAGTGAAACCAAGGACGGCAGACTCAGTGAAGAGAAAGACGGATGAGCCAGGTTTTGGGCGGGTCAAGGACACTGCAGTGGAGAGCAATGCAGAACTGCAATGGCAACGGGTGTGGATGGTATGTACTTCAAGGCCTGACTGAGTGGATGGGTGGGGAGAATGGGGAGTTTCAAAACTGGTTCTTGGGGCCATGGTATAGGATTCTCTAACTCTGAGTGCATGGAACGAGAGCTGAATTCAGCTTGAAAAAAACAGAAGGTGCATTTTCATGGGAGAGTTGAGAGGAAATTTTTAGCATTCTGCTAAATGCTTAAGTCTTTGCCTGTGTTTCTGCATTGTGGAGGGAGCACACGGGTGTGGAAGGAGGCTATGGAAGTAAAAGGGACATGGATAAAGAAAAGTTGGTGATGATGGGTGGAGAGGTGGAAGAGACTGAAGAGGCAGTGATGGGATACATAGAAAGCCTTCTAGGGAGGACTTTTGGGCTAAAAATGAAGAACAAGGGAACATGCAAGAGAGTTGTTTCTGTAGGCAATTGGGGAAATTATTTGCCTAAACAATAGGAAGGGATACATTCAAACAATTGGGGCTACTGTGCTTTAAGCTGATGTCAGCTAGGATCTACGGGCCACTGGTCATTTCCAAACAAGTCACCACACTTTAGAAAGCCTTTTGCATACGCAGGTGGCATCAGACTGAAGGAGTGCTGGTGGTTGGCTAAACTAGTATCTTAACTTTAAGTTTTCCTGAACCTGGATATATTCCTGAGTTTTTCCTGGTATCAGGAAAAAAAAAATGCCTTGGGGGAATATATTTAGCGGGAGAATAAGAAAATAGGGAACACTGCTTAGTAATACAAACTTAAGAGATAATAAAAAGAATGAATGAGACATTCGACACTGAAAGTGTTGTCTCTTTTCATTCTTTCTGTGTGGATGACTGCAGCCATCCATGTTCTACGTGTCTGTCAGGTGGCAGTCAGGGAACCAAGCTTGGAAGTCATGACTTGATTCTTACCTTAGAGTTTACTTATATTTAAGTTTCCACCTTTCTAAAGGAATAGGTGCTTTGTTTTCTTGGCTCTCTTCCTTGCAATTCCACTTTGTATCTAAGGACCGGAATTAGGAAACTGCTTGATGAAAAAATAAGTACTCAGGAGTAGTGCTACACCCTTTTTTCTCTACTAGCAGCACTCGGAACAGGATTGCCAAACCTCATTAGATCTGCAAAACACTAAGAAAAATAAACACCCACAGATTTTAATTTAAAAGTCCTCGCTATGCACCCTGAAAAGGAAATCTATTCTTTATGAAATACAAAGGCAGTGTTGAAACACAAGGCTAAATGGAAAGAACGCATGTTGTTTCTCCATCATAGAAAATAAGCTTCAATCATATTAAGAGGAGTCTCCTAGTGGCATAAAATTAACCAGAAAACACCAAATAGTGCCAGGGATTTTCCTGGGGTATAATACACAAGAAATGTCCAAAAGCAAAACCTGCCTTAACACCATCAAGTTCCCTTAATGAAACGTGCACTTATTAAAAAATTGGTAAATAGGTCAGTGAGGAAAGGGGAAATAAAGGTATGAAATTATTCTTTTTCTCATTTTGTTTCTACTCTTTTCATGAAATGAAATGGATTTCAACATGTGTGAGCCTGAAAATACTAAGGAGCTTACCTGCAGTAAGGCCCTCAGGCTAATATTATCATGATAATACTGTAAAAGAACAGTATGATGAAGAGGACATTTTCCATGTTTTCCCGTTCCACTCATGAAAGCTATCATCATAATAACTTGGTTAATAAAATATGCTATTTAGCCAGCATATTATAATATGTTCTTCTGTGTCCTAAGAGTTTAGAATAACTGAGTAAATATAATCCCTGCAATAGTGAGTTGACGCCATGGACGGATCAGCGTCCACACTAGGGCTGACCCAGGAACTCCATAGTATTCAGGAGGGTGCTAGGTCATCTGATTCGATGAGCCCATTTTAGGAATTCAGTCCTATTTTGAGATGTATGAATGTACTTATTTTAACGATTTCTTTATTAACTTCTTCCCGTAGGATGTGCAGAGTTTTGTGTCTGTATCTAAGAAAGCCTAGGCAGGTTCTTAATTTGAGGGGGAAAGGGCAAGGGACCAATCAGAGTTTGAACAGGTCATGGTGGAGTAGGTGTACTAGATTAATCCTCTCACACACTGAAAACTAAACTTTGAACAAAATATTAAGAGCTATCTAAAGGCAATGGAGTGTGACCAAAAGCACAGACACCAGAAGGGAGTTAACTCCAGAAAGAAGGGAATTGTATTTCTAACATCTTCTTGATTTAGGGCAGGCCCAGGCAGCGCCACTAAGAGTAATTAAAATTCATAAAAAATCCTTAAGTCTCACTAATTGAGGAAGCAGAGTTCAGAGTGACCAAAGAATCTAGAAAGCGAGGGGGAAATCCTGAAAGGAGAGAGCCACAGAGGGCAGCCGCAGGGCCCACATCTCTCACTGATCTCTGAATGGCAGCCCCTTAGGCAGACTTCAAGCAGCCAGCTAAAACAGATTTCAGCTGTGGGGGCCCAGTGCCAGGGATCCAGAATTTGGAGCTTGAGATCAACCAAGTTAACTGCCTGCTAAACAAAAAATTAAAAATTCTTCAGAGGACCAAAATAAAATCCAGTTTCTATAATGTGTTATTCACAATGGTTAGGATACAATCTAGTATCAGACATATGAAGAAACATACTCCAAAGCAAAGGCAATCAGTGGAGAGCAACCCCAAGGTGACCCAGAGATTGGAGTTAGTAGACAAGGATTCTCAAAGTAGCTGTTATAACTCTGCCCCAAAACAAAAACAACGCCTGCCCCCCCCCCCCCCCCCAAAAACCTTGTAATGAATGGATAGGAAATTTCAGCAGAGAAAAAGAAGCTATGACAACAATAATAGGATCAAATGGATTCTGGAAGTGAAAGTGTCTGAAATTAAAAAATCACCAGATGAGTTTAGCAGCTGGTCAGAGATGGTAAAAGAGTCAGTGAACTTGAAGATAGAAAAATGGAAATTATCTAATCTGAAAAATGAGTTGTGTGGGGGAGCTTTTTCTTTGGTTAGTGCTTTTACTGTATATAACCTTTTTGCTAAGATTACTAGACTCGGAAAATCAGGGGAATCGTTGTCCTCCTTGACTAGCATATACACTCTATGAGGGCAGGCAACGCATATTTTTAGTCTGTAGGTTCCTAATTGCCAGGACCTGTGATTAGTTCTGCTCTTTGGAATGGGGGCACGAACTGGGGGAACAGGAGGGTGAGCATGGTGACAGGAAATGCAGGAACACTCCATGTTCAGAAATTCAGGCAGGCAGAATGTTTGCTCCACGGCAATCAGTTATCTGGCAGATGGTCTCAGGTACCAAGCAGTGTTGGAGGCAAGAGATCAATCTCTTGAGGGTAGTGTTTCTCAACATGGTTCAGGTCACTTGTGTCAGAATTACCTGGAGTGCTTGTTAAAATGTCAGTTCGGGGGTCCAATTCTAGACTTGCTAAGCCTGCACCTCTGAGGACTGGTCTTGGAAACCTACAGGTATCCTAGGTGATTCTTATGTATATAAATTTGAACTACTGTTTATTTTTAAGGCTTGGGGAGCTGGTAGAAGGAACAGACGAAGTCACAGAGCAGGTTTCCCAACCTTGGCACTATTGGCATTCGGGGCTGGATAATTCTTTGTTGTGGGGGGGCTGCTGTCCTGTGCATTGTAGGGTGTCTAGCAGCATCCCTAGTCTCTAACCTTCTAGATGCCAGTAGCACCCCCTCTCCCAGATGTGACAACCAAAAGTGTCTTGACATTGCAAAATGTCCCCTGGGAGGCAAAATAGCCCCTGGTTGAGAACCACAGCTTTGGAGGCTCACAGTAGGAAGTGTGCTCCTAATCGAAGGATCAGAAGAAGGAGAACAGGAGATGGGGGAATGCCCAGCTATTGGAACTGGGGTGCTAAGTCAGGGCAAGATCTACAGCAGGAGCTCCTTTATTTTTTTTGGTGAGGAAGCTTGGCCCTGAGCTAACATCTGTTGCCAATCTTCCTCTTTTTGCTTGAGGAAGATTGTCCCTGAGCTAACATCCATGCCAATCTTCCTCCACCTTGTATGTGGGATGCTGCCACAGCGTGGCTTGATGAGCAGTGTGTAGGTCCACAGTTGGGATCCAAACCTGCAAAATCTGGGCCACCGAAGTGGATTACGTGAACCTAACCGCTACGCCACTGGGCCGGCCCCCAGGAGCTCCTTTATAAGGTTGATATTGGCAGCTTAGCTGCCTTGCTACAGAGGGGCCATATAACTCTAGAGTGGTGACAGATGGAATAAAGGCTAAGATCTAACAAGCCCTGGCAGCTTAGGCCAGGTCTCAATCCAGGGTGTGCATCAGAATCAATGTGGAACTGTAAAAACATCCAGATGCCTCAGCCAATCTCAGTCCTTCTGAAGTTTGGTGAAGTCCAGGCATCTGATACACAACTTGGATCTGGAACACTCATGGGGTTCGATGACATCTGGAATACTGTGTTCAGGATCTCAGAGAGAGACGGGCTAGGAGTAAAACTGCCTCCGCATCGCCTGGCATCTGACCCTCTTTAACAGGCCCCATCCCATCCCACAAGTGAGGATGAAAGCATTCCACACATCCATTGTTGCTAAACTGTCCTAAGGACTGTCTCCTCTGTTCTGAGCCTGTTTGCTCTTTTGTAATGTTTCCTGTTCCCATTCCACTGCCTAACACCTGATAGTTTTCTCTCTGCCCAGCCCCCTTGTTCTCTTCTCTGTTTGGCTTGTGTGACTCAGGCAATATTTAAGAGAGTCAAAGCCTTGGTGACTGACCTCATTGGGAGTTTCGAAGTTCCTTTTAAAGGGACTGAGTAGCATCTGCTGTATTCATAATGCAAAGTAAGGCTGTAAAGCAACAGGATGGACTCCACAAGGTGCACAACCAACACCAGTTTCGTAGAGGAGCACCTCATGCTTTACGACAGGAAATCCAGAAAAGAAACAAAATGCTGTGAAACTTTGAGTGTGCACTCTAAGTTTCATTAACTAAAAAGTACATCCATGGAGAATCTTGGTTCAACTTGATTAATTTTGGTTAAACCAGCTACTAGTTCAGCAATAATTCCATAACAGCCCAAGAACTCTGGAAAAACACTGCCACTGATTATTTTATTCAGAAAAAAACAAGAGGAAGACAGAAACAGAAGGCCTGGTCATTTGCAGTATCTATCAGCTTTCAATTTGGCTCTCCTGTTTAAACAAAGACAAATAATAAAAATTAATCTATGAAAACACGCCATATAGTCAACTGCTACTAAATATAAACTCATGCTTAAAAATTGTGTTCTCAATTTTGGTTATTATATTACCACACCACTTATATTAAAATAATTAAAATTTTACTGTTTAATTCTATGTTTCACAGTAAATGAGTTCTATTCTTATGAAAATCTTTTCCTAATCTTTAACAAATGTTGCCTAAGGGCTTTTTCAATTCACAATAGCAATTTTAATTACCTCTGAATTTAAGCATGCCCTAAACTTCTATTTAATCGAGCGGCGATATATTTTTGTAGGTGATAAAAGTTACAGGGCATAGACTTTATTCTATTTCTTTTGAGTCTATATCCTGATTATTTTTTATATAGCATTCTTTATTTCTTAGCGCTAGATACACGCTAATTTGCTCAGCTATAAAAAATTCTTACATCATTTACTGACTTTAGGTAACAACTTGATCAACGGGAAAATCCTAATTAACAAGAAATAAATGATTAAGCATTGTCTTTCTCAAGCAATGTGAAGACAGGTTTTAAGATTAATTTTGCAACACAGGACTTGAATGAGTGACAAGAGTTCACCAAATTCTCTTTCAATCTGGCACTTATTTGATGTACAGCTGTAAACTCATAGCTAAACCTCTCTAACCATTTTTTTCTGTTGTAAATCTAGGAAATTACTTACCTAAATAGGAATAGTAATAAATAAATATTAATAATGTGCTATGTTAAATATCTTGCACACTTCTGAATCTAGCTTAATACAAGTGCTTCAATTTCATTTAACTTTTATATTTCAGTTTTTTTAAACTGGTCTATTTTTAATCTCATTTTTAGGAACCTGTACTACTACAATGGAATCCACAGAATTTTGAAATTAGTCAAACTACTACTTTCCAGCCCTCGTTCTAATAGTTACAAAAAGATGATGGTAAGTAAAGTTATGAAGTAGGTTCAGTCAAACCTGAATTTCTTACAACAAAATATATAAGTACTTAGAATCTGGCAATTTTTAGACATTCCTTTCTGGTGATCTTTTCCCAGACTTACGATGTCTTTTTCAGGTAATATTACTACTATGTTCACAAATTAGAAAGAAAGAGAAAAATTTGAGAAAACTATAGTAATTTAAAAAGAACACTGGTTTTATCTATGCCATTTCTATTGGCTACTGAAAATAGTTAGAAATAAGTAAAAATATCCCTACCTGTCCAGAAGCGTTTCGTGCAGAAATCCATCTTTCCGGGCCTTTTTAAGAATTTTACTGTCTTCTTTACTTATTTTAAGTTTGTGGTCTTGGAAGCTCTGAAATTTCTTTCTGTTAAGAAAATGTCTTTCTTAAAAAATATCTCAAGCTTTGGTTATACATGTTTACTGATGAACTTACAAATATTTTAAAAGGTTTTCATTTACTTAAAAAAAATCTAATTGTATTTCTTTGAGCCCCACTTCTCCCCGGAACGCTGGCTGGAGCCCGTGTCCTGGCTATGGAACAGCATTTGGTTGGCATCAATGTACTGACAGGTTACAGCCATTCTATTAGTGAAGAGGGAGAACTAACCCGAGTGACTTCAGCTTTGAAAGCTAGCAGGAAAATTGGAAAACTGAAGCCCTAAAAAAGAACAGCATTCAGCTCAGCGCTCTGCCCTAGAGTCTCCATTATGTTGCCTCTCCTTGTCGCTCAGGTTTTTTATTTTAGGTGCCTTGAGGAGCGCTTCACTGACAAATCTGCAGATCTATAAGGAAAAGAATACGTACACGTAATTGATTTCACACTGTTTAACATTTCCTTTGTCTTCTTCTGGAATATCATCTTTTTTCTTAGTTTCTCTTTCAGCACAGGATCTAATCTGGGCAGTGGAGATGTGAATCCAACAGGTTACACGTTTATCTTCCCCCTTTCCCACTTAGTACACAAGAACATTCTAGCTGATTTCTTATGCAAAAGAGGAAAACAATTAACATAGCAATGGGATTCAGAAAAAGACAGGTTCTAGATATGTTTTCATTTATATACATATAATTTATGTAAATAACTGCCATTATATGTTTCTCTAGAGCCGGTGCATCAGAAACACTAAAGAGAAAATTATTTGAAAAACATTTTACAGATCAGATCCTGCTGAGCAATTAGGCAATAATTTAACTTTGTCCTCAGAGTAAATACAGTGGGATCAAATTACCCCTGGCAGTGTTTATTTTATAACATTGAAAGTTTAAGATAGCCGCTATTTTACTCTGCATGGGCTACTACCAAATACATTCAAACTTTTAACATAACAGAATTTGTTTTTACCTAATTGGAATCCACCCCTTTCAAATACTCCTTATATCCTCTTTAAGTTTTGACAGATATTTACTATCACACGCCATAAATTAATTGAGAGAGATACAGCAATTAGGATCAGGTGAGTGGGGCAAAGAAGGGGGAAAAAATTCAGGCCCGTGGAACTGGCAACCTGCAACCCAAAGGACCCATGTCTCCAAAGTGGTCTCTGTAGCTCCAAGAGCTTAGAAAGTGGTGACCAACAACCAGAGCGCCAAGTGATATGTGTGCAACCATTCTGGTTAGAGGAGTTCTAGAAGACCTGGGGAAATTCCTGGCCAGGGCCTGTGACAGTACACAATACTATTTGTGGCAGGAGGGAAGGTGTTCTAGTAGATGAAGCCAGGCCAGAATGGCGGATGCCTGACATGGACTGGCAGAGCCTGAGATGCAAGAGGCTAAGTGGAAAGAGTGCCGGACCATCACTGCTCAGAACTTCCAGGTGCCTGACTAACACAACAGACCGAGGGAAACGTGCCAGTTACTGCACATAAAAATGGTTGTAATTAATGATAAATAAGCACAGTGGCTTTTTTTCTGTAGAAGTGCAAAGTACTGCATTTGCATGGTTTGTCTTCAATAATCATGCTTTTGTAATGTAATCCAGATGAGAAATAATTAAAACATGATACAATAAAATTAAATATAAATAAATACAATTTAAAATAGGCAAGTCAGAAATCCATCAGCATTTTTCTCATGATCTGTTTCCTGAGAAGCAGCGTGGAGTGGAATGCAAGAGTAGTTTCCAGAGTCACGTCAGCCTGGGGACACATCCTGTCTCTACCATATCTAGCTGTGTGACTTTCAAGAAGTGACTGATCAAAACAGTGAGGATGTGAGGAGGGTGAAGGCTGTTTCCTGTCTGTAAAGTTAAGCTAACAACAGCTTTCTGACAGCAACATCATGAAGAATAAAGACAGCGATGTGGGGGCTGGCCCCGTGGCCTAGTGGTTAAGTTTGGCATGCTCTACTTTGGTGGCCCGGGTTCGGTTCCCGGGCATACAAAATAGAGGAAGACTGGCACAGATGTTTGCTTAGGGTGAATCCTCCTCAGCAAAAAAAAAAGAAGGAAAAGAAAAAAGATGATGATGCATGTGCTGCGTTCAGTACAGCGCCTGCAGCAACTTGCTTTAGTTTACATAATTGAAAACTATTATGACTAATGCTTTTCAAAATGAAACAAAAGAATATCTAAGTTTTAGACTGAAATTATTTGAGCCTGGCCTTTTGAGAAATCTATGGAAGACATATTGAAATTTCTAATTCCTGTGTTGTCTACAGTACTATTTCTTTCTCCATCAGTCATTTGCTATTTCCAAATGACGAAATAAAGAGTTACTGGTATATCATTTAAAAAGACCAGCAATATTTTTCAAGGTAAAAAAGAATACTAAGAGTGTAAAAACTGAGTATTATGAAAATTGAGAACATTTTAAAAATAAAATCAAACACATGGCATGGAATTTAACACAAGGCATGTACAGATACTTGATAGATGCTGTTAAATTATGCTGGTAGCAGAGAAAAATGTAACAGATTTTTATGCTTTATTTTTAAGGATTAAGGCCCCTTTAGAAAAGGCATTTCTCCCCCATTTCTTTGAGCCCTCCACTCTAGCCCTCCCTAATGCATTACACACAGCGAATCTGGATCAGACCAGCCAGCACCTCTGACTCTCCAACAGAGAAATTAGGTGAGGTTAGTAGAATGGTCCGTACTGGGATGGATGCCAAGAAAAAGAAAAATTATGCATCAAGAAGATGGCAGTTATTCTGTAGACTCATCTTAGCGTATGTTTTCATTAAAGATCAAGTGACTTCTGCAAGCCTAAAAAATTAAGCCTTAAGGCCTCATCAAATTCCAGTTAAGATACTACCTGATTTATCTACTTGGAAATTTTAATTAGAATTTCACCTTGATATAGAGATGTCTCTACAACTTTCACAACAAAGTGAAACAAAGAATAAGAATAGGGAATTTACCTTGGAATAAGGAATTTTTATTTCCAGCTTAATGACTGATATCAAATTAAAAAACATTTGTTTTATGTGCTTCATGTTTTTCCTCACGTAAAGAAGACTTTTACTTATTCATCAAAAGATCCAGAATTTGAGGGCTAAAGCTCTGAAAGTTCTGCTATTACTTTTATATACTTTATATAGTGACTAGTGACACAGATGCTCAAATATTAAACAAACTCAAAACAACCTAGTAACTTTCTCACACACGCTGGTGGGAGTGTAAGTGAGCACAACCCCTGCGGAGGGCAATCCGGCAGTATCTCAGGGCATGAAAAACGCGCACACCCTTTGACCCTGTAATTCTCCTTCTGGGGATTTACCCTCAGGTGTGCTTGCATACCTACAAAACGACGCAGATTGAAAGTTCTGTGCTGCAGCACTGTATGTGAAAGCAAAAGACTGGAAATAACCTAAACTTCCATTATAAGGAACTGATTAAATAAATTGTGGCACATCTCTAAAATGCAATATTATGTAGCTGTTAAAAAAAAGAGAGAGAAACCTTTTTACACAACGATAAGGGAAAATCTTCAAGATGCAATGTAAGGAAAATAACTGAGGTCTAAAGGAGAGTGTACAGGAGGTTAACCTTAGTGTAAAGGGCTAGAAAATTACAAACATTCACATTTGCATAAAGAAACTCTAGAAGGCAATAGAAAGACGGGAGACATTCTTACATTTATATGCTTATTTTTTAAAAATTCTGAACCATGTGAACATATCATCTATTTAAAAAATTAAATTTTAAAATGCAGGCAAGAAAAAAAGAAAACTTCAGCTTAAAAAGCATATAAAACTACTCAGAAAAAGATACTAATACATGGAGATAATAGCAAAGTAGCTCTTAAATGCAGTAATTTCTCTACCACATGGTGCAAACAAGCCCTCAGTTATGGGATTTATAATTAAAAATAAAGCTTACTTGAAGCATAGTATGAAAAGTTTTGAACTAAATCTTTAAAGTGATAGTAAAATTCAACATTTTAACGAGATGTAGGCACATCATATGTGTGTCATGTATTAGTCTATAGAAAAAATGCCATGATTACCTTTATCATTTCTTCTTCTCCTGCCGTTTTACTTTTTGCTTCTATATCACCGGCTTCATTGCATCTAATAAAGCAGCTATTTGAGGCCAATAAAGCCATTTTCCCCTAAATAAAATAATAGCAACAAAAACAGTTATGAGACTGGCTGCAAAAGAATTCTTAAGTCTTCAGACTAAATTAATTTTCCTCCTGCGTCTAAGTCATCAGGAAAAAGAATCTGGAGAAAACCTGAAAAATAAAAAAACTATAGAAAAGAAAACCAAAATCACCTATAATCTTACTACTCAAAGGTAATCCCAATAAATATTTTTAGTATATTCTATTTAGTAGGACTAAATTCTAACTAGATGAAATAGAATTGTTTCCTTTGGCCTTAAAGTTCTATTGAAGATATAAATGATTTAGTTCAGTGTGAAAAATAATTAGCTTTAAAGACAATAAAAAATTACAATGTGAAATAATTACCCAGTAGTGTTTTAAGTAAAATTTTTCTCCATAATTAGAAAATTTAAAAATATATCAGATATAAGTTAGCTTTAGGTACTTTTGAATTTACTGCTCAGAACTCTAAGAATCAATGTCTGAGGGACTTCTGTATGTGGAAAGAAACAGTCATACTCTTTTTAGTTGTTTAATGCTCAGTGTATTATACTGATTCTAATAAACCTTTGAAAACTAATTTTCTTGTGTATCTAAATAAAGATTATAGACTTGATTAAATTCTCTTAACAAATATAAGGTTTAATTATAACTTGTACATGGTTGATTCTTCTGGAAAATTCTGAATACCTTAAACATCAGACAAAATATTCACAATCATTACAAGACGTATTCACAACCTTCTATCATATCCAGTTACAAAGGTGCTAATCACATGGATTTGATTGAATTTCTACTTCGAGGTGACACGGGCTGGGTTTTCTGTCACCTGGACAGCTCTCGGTGAGCCGGATACGGTGTACAGTCCAGGGTGATTTAACCTGTGCTGCTGATCCACGGCTGAGTCCCTTTTTGCAATAAAGTTTTACTTGTTACATCAGGGGCTTTTAAGCCTCTCTTTCATTTAAATTTAAATTTTTTTCTTTTTTTTTTTTTTGAGGAAGATTAGCCCTGAGCTAACATCTGCCACCGATCCTCCTCTTTTTGCTGAGGAAGACTGGCCCTGAGGTAACGTCGTGCCCATCTTCCTCTATTTTATGTGGTACACATGCCACAGCATGGCTTGACAAGCAGTGCGTGGGTCTGCACTAGGGATCTGAACCAGCGAACCCTGGGCCACCAAAGTGGAACATGTGAACTTAACTGCTGTGCCACTGGGCTGGCCCTAAATTTAAATTTTTAAAACGTAGTGTTTTTCCCCCCAAAATAAAGTGAAATGAACTTCCTGAAGTTGTGTGAGTAGTGGTATCTGACTCATCATCCTGGTCTTATGATATACTGGCTTTTTCTGTTGATAGAATTTTTATTCTAACTATCTCATCATATTGGTAGGGTCATCTAGAAGGGATTACAACCCATTAGAGGTTCATAAAATCAATTAGTGGGTACTCACCAGTACTGGGAAAAAAAGACAGAAAAGAGGTAAAATAGAATAGAAAATACCAGAGTGCACAACACACAGATCAGTATTGTTAAGTACAGCTCTTGCTTTGGTTACACATATGTGTGTACTGGGCTGCAATGTAAAAATGTCATTCTCACTGGACTGGGGTCAAAAAAGTTTGAAAGTTATTGACCCAGAGATTTTTATCCTAGGGGATGAAGGAATGAGTGTAAGTAATTCCTCTTTTTGGGGCGATGCTTGGCTAATTTATCATCTTGGAAAACACTGTTGGATCCTATTTTGAATTCGTTATTGTATATGACCACTGACGTGATGCTATGCAACTACTGGACTCCGCTTCCACTGGTGCCTATGGTCCTTCTTTGATAATAGCATCAACTTTCAGGAGATTGTTTAGCTCTCGTATATTTTTGTTCAATCTTATTGCTTACACAAATAGAAAAAGGACTTATGTATTCTGAATAAACAGACATAGACCTAACAAAAGAAATGCCCATATACTGCAAATTGCCTACTTACTAAAATTAATAAAAATCAATATATTATCTTCCTCCTTCTTTTGTAATAAAACTCTTTTTGTACACTATTTGCTGTTCTCTTTGAGTTTCATTATGAACACAAAGACATTTATAGACTAAATTGATTTCAATGAACCATTATTATCATTACTTATTACTTTATGTACAAATTGTCACAACCTGGCCAGTGGCCAGCCCCTTAAGCTTGCTCCATTGTCCTCTTACCATCGTCTTTAATGTTTTTGAAAGCATCCATAATTTCTGCTAAGAAAAAGATAATCCTGAACTGTTTTCCTGCCCCAAGAAATAAAATTTGTTACCCTTGGAGGAGTCCTGGTTCTTTAATGGAAAATAAGAGAGACCTAAATCTAAGCACCAAGGGCAGCAGAAGCACTACTGCTGTTTCTGTTGGACTGTTTTTTGAGATCTTTTTAAGGTGATGGGTCCATATTGTTTTTTCCCAATTTAATGCATTATACTGTTACACTTTATACTTTGTTTTTTTTAGAATATATACTCTCATTGACTGTTAAAGACTTTCTCTTACATTGACAGGAAGCTTTTATAAACAGTAACAGCACTTACATCTTGAAAGACTGGTTCCCATTGTTCTCTTGGTCCAATTGCATCTGAACGCCCAACAACAAGTCCATCTGAATTTATACCAAGGTATTTTCCATAGCCAGATTTCAGGGCAATTCTTCAGATTAATAAAATAGATAAATGTTAAAAACTGAAAGAAAATTAAATATGGAACATAAAAATAATGTGTATGTGTGTATATGTAAAAATTCAAACTAGTCATAGTCCAAAGGTTCAAAAGCCATGTGTGACTAGTGGCTATGATATTGGACAGTATAGTTTTATATATACAATTTACATTCTGCTTTTTAATACAAGCATTATATATTATATGTAGCAAACATTTTCCAAATTACTTATTCTTCAAATACACCACTTTTAATGGATATACAATATTCTATTACAGACGTATTAGAATTTATTTTTTCTGCTATTATAAATAGTGCTGCTATTATCTTTTCTGTCATAAAATTGCTGATCTATCCTTAGACGATGTTCCTAGAAAGGAAATTATTGGACCAGAGGGTATCAACTTTAAAGCTCCTATTACATACTGTCAAACCACTTTCCAGAAAACATTTATATCAACTTACATTGTCACCTCAAATTAGGAGAATCTCTTTTTACCACAAATCTGTTAACATTATGCCTTTTTTATGAAAAAAATTAGAAAATCTGATACGGGAAAAGTAGCATCCTATTTAATTTGCACTTTATTATTGAGAATGATATTTGTACTTTTCCTTTTTAGTTTTTAAATTATCTCTTTGTCTGTTTTTCTATTAGGGTTTTACTGTTTTTCTTAGTGTTATGAATCCTGCACATACACGTGAAGAGTAAAAACTCAGTGCCTATTAAGGCTCTTGCAAATATTTTCCTCATTTGCCTACTTATTTTGCTCATAAGGTTTTAAATTTTCAATTGTAAAGAAGTTTGTGTTTATTGATTTTTCTTCTCCTTTTATTCTTTGAAAGTCTTTCATCATACTTATTGGCTGTTCAAAGAAAGTATAGAAATAATCATCTTAATGTGATTAAAAAAATATGATTTCTAATATTTTAGCTTATCAATCCCCATGATGCCAGGGGACTAACTTTATACTCATTTATTGGTTAATGACAATATAATACAAACCATTATCATATTGATGGAGCTAATTACTATAATACTGAAATTCAAGTTCCATGTCTATTACCCAAAGTATCATTCTGTACTTCTGCATTGTGAGAATAAAAACAGTCAGCTTATAAAATGATTGTAAAAATAATAAGTAAAATACTCTTTTGGTCTTTATGACTATTAACATTCTCTGCTGGTTTCAACAATATTCCTTTCTTCTATCCTCCTATTGGTCTCTTGACTTCTGATCAGAGTGTTTATATATCATGGCAACATCAGACCAGGTTTTATCTTGTTTGTTTTTCATGTAATCTTTCTAATCTACATCTTGTTTGGTCTGTGACATTATTAATCTTCATTTTTTCCAGCATTGTATTATATATCGCGAGAAATCATAATGTATGCTTCTATCTGGAGCTTTAATTCTCTTTTAAAGACAGTTATTGCAAATGTAACTGAATAATACCTAAATATCTGCTGGTTATATAAATAATGGTATATTTTAAAAATGTCAAAAAATCTCCTTCTCAAAAATTGCTTTGGTTTTTAAATCAAAATTATTCTGTTGGCTGAAGTTAGCTAGATATTAGAATTTTTTAATGAATGAAATTAAATTAAAAAAACAAAAGATTACTAATTGTAGGTCAACTCAAGCTTACCTGGAATCAGACAATTTGACAGCTGTAAATTGCTCTGGAGGACTAGGGCCCTCATCAACTACAGGAGAAAAAACATTTTGAAATAAATTTGACATCTGTTAAAAATAGACACGTAAAGATATTCCTTAGCTTTAAAAAAGTAGCTTCTTTTAAAATTAAATGTAAGAACATTACGATATTATGATATGATTGTAAGACAGCATTCAAAGTATCAAGATCTACTGTATCTTCCTATAACTAGAGCGTTTGTTTTCCATACTTAATAACAAAGGTCAGCTTAATGCTTATTTAGTCACTTCCAAGATATTTTCTCTGTGTTTTAAAATGTAGTACATAGACAGATAAACACTTAATATTTAAAAAACTAAATATGCCGTAATTTATTCAAGGGAAGGCCTTCAGGTCACAAGATACTACTTTTTATCTTCTAATTACTTCATCCCATTAGTGCTTCCTCTGATGGGCTAAAAGGGAATGAGAAAACTTCACACAGTTAACGATGCTCCAGGTTAGTTTTGGCAAATGGTCTGAAGAATAAAGGAATTCAAACCTTGGACTCAACCAGGTTTTTCCTTTCCACTTATTATTTCAATTATTCATGTTATTTTTGATTTCCAATAATACTCTTCTAGAACTATACAGAATGTTTTCAAACGCTGTACTGGAAAGAGGGAGCTGCCAATAAGTGGTAAATATTGTGGAAGGGAAAAAGTGGAAGAGTCAAATGCAATGGATTCATTCTTTTGGAATACACTTGTGATTAGTTAGAACCTGGCCGAAGTGAACAAGTATACAAAATGTATACTGTCAGTGGCCTTTTCCCTTCTTTTGCTTCTACCAGACACAAACCTTCTTTATGTGGAGCTCCCAGTGTAAAAAGTCCATTGTCAAGTGCATGTATGTAAGTTCCTTTATCCATTTCAATTGCTATGGTTCCTGAAATTTCACCAAAGTTTGTTACTGTCCACCAGATTCCTAAAAAATAAAATCAGTAATTCATATTTTAGATTTGACACACGGTCTTTATGTGTTGTTGTTGTTGTAACTTACTAAAAACTTTTTATTTTGCAGTTGTAAGAAGTAATACAGAGAGGTCTCATATAGCGTTTACTCACTTTCTCCCAAAGGTAACATCTTGCATAACTTTGATACTGACAGTACAATATCAAAACCAGGACACCAAGATTACAACCCATGAATTTAATAATGCCACAGGCTACAAGGTCAATATACAGAAATCAACCGTCTATCTACTAACAACAAACAACTGGAAAATAAAATTTTAAAATTCTATTTACAGTAGTGTAAAAACCGGTTTGGATCCTGGGTGTAGACATGGCACCGCTTGGCAAGCCATGCTGTAGCAGCTGTCCCACATATAAAGTAGAGGAAGATGGGCACGGATGTTAGCTCAGGGCCAGGCTTCCTCAGCAAAAAGAGGAGGACTGTCAGCAGTTGGCTCAGGGCTAATCTGCCTCAAGGAAAAAAAAAAAAAAAACAACCCACAAAACTACGAAGCCTCTAAAAGAAAATGTAGAAGAATATCTTTGCGACCTTGGGGTAAGCAAAGATTTCTTAGATTGGAGAAATAAGGTGATAGCCATAACAGAAAAAAAAGTTAATTGGGCTTTATAAAAATTAAAAACATCTGCTTATCAAAAAAACACCATTAAGAAAATGAAAAGTCAAACCACAGACTGAGAGAAAAGACTGATTACAGACTTTTAATACTTTCTTGGTGGGCGTGTAAAATGATGCAAATATTTTAGAAAATTTCTGGCAGTTTTTTTAATATAGTTAAATATTCACCTATCCTCTGACACAGCAATTCCACACCGAGATATCGCCCCAAGATATTTACCCTAATTTTAGAATTGTTGATTTGCTAGTTCAAAAAAATGCGAGATCATCTAGAATATTAGCTTTATACCATTTCACATAAAATGTAAAGGAGCCATAATTTATGGTTTCAAAATGCAACCTACCAAGTTTTAAAAGAGAACTAAATTGCTTTAAAGTACAGGTGTGGAAAGGACAGAAGGACTAAATGGAAAACAGGCTGGGTAAGGGTGTTTGGGTAAGTTTATTTCTAGTACCACTTACAGGCTACCTTGACATTCTCTTGTGTTTATTTATTTATTTCCCTAAAGACTGGCACCTGAGCTAACATCTGTTGCCAATCCTCTTTTTTTTCCTCTTCTTCTTCTCCCCAAAGCCCCCCCAGTACATAGCTGTATATTCTAGTTGCGAGTGCCTCTGGTTGTACTGTTCTGTTTAGTTAAGATTTTCACTCATTTCACAGTACACAAAATTATTCTGTACTGTGAATATATTCAAAAATATATTTTTGCATATATTTCTTTTAGGGATATACAAATCACTGGCTTCTACAATTAAAATGTTCAAAGAAAATAATTTGTAAAATATATTTGGTTACATAATATTTATTTACATCAGGCCTTTAAAATCATGCATCAGCATCTCTGGGCTATTAAGTATTCTAACGGTGCCTATTAAGGCATGGAGCTCTGTTTACCCTCTCCTGTGCTTTGTTCTGACAAGGAAGAAAAGGCATCAGTGACATCTACCGTGCTAGAGAATAAAAGCAATCTACTATTGTCACCAATACTTGAGCATTTTAAGACAAATACAAATAGGTCATAAACTCCTTCTACTGTCTTTTTACCACTTATCTCTAACTAGGAAAATATTTTTAAAGGTTAACTTTTCTCAGAATAAAGTATAGAAAACTGACCCACCAACAATATCAAGTTCAGTTTCTTCATCATCTTCTCTTTTTCTCTTCTCTTTGTTCTTTTTCTTCTTGCTACAGGAGGTAATTTGTATAGATGAGTTTAGATATATTGATTTGCATGTTAAATATCACAAGATGGAGTCTCACAAGGAATCTTTTAAGCTGTACGTTCATTGATAAATTATTGATTTACAATGACTTCATTGATGTACCTCTTACTTCTAATATCGAGAAGTTGCTTCTAATCCTGTATGTCCTGTGTTATAGTTAAAAGCATAGACACTGGAGCCAGACTGTCTGATTTTAAAGCCTGATTCTGTCACTTCTTCGCTCTGTGATTTTTGGAAAAGTTACTTCTCTCTCTGAGTCAGCTTCCCTACCTACAAAGTAAGGATCATAACTGACACTCAACTCTTAAGGTTATCGTGAGGATTAAGAGTTAACATGGACCTTCATGCATTGCTGGTGAGAATGTAAAATGGTGCAGCTGCTTTGGAAAATAGTTGGGGTTCCTCAAAAAGTTAAAACAAAGTTACCCTATGACCTAACAATTCTACTCCTAGGTATATACTCAAGAGAACTGAAAACATACGTCTATACAAAAACTTGCAAATTAATATACATAGCAGCATTATGTATGATAGTGAAAAGGTGGAAACCCCAATGTCCATCAAGTAATGAAGGGATAAACAAAATGTGTTATATCCATACAATGGAATATTATTCAGCCATAAAAGGAATGAGAACTGATACATGCTACAACACGGCTGAACCTTGAGAATGTCATGCTAAGTAAAAGCAGCCAGATACAAAAGACTGCCTGTTCCATTTACAGGAAATACTCGGAATAGGCAAATTCATAGACACAAAGTAGATTAGTGGTTGCCAGGGACTGGGGCAGGGGGGAATGGAGAGTGGCTGCTTAATGGGGAAGGGGTTTCCTTTTGAGGTGAGGAAAATGTTCAGCAACTAGATAGTGGTAAACCTTGCGAATCTACTAAAAACCACTGAATTGTACTTTAAAAGGGTGAATTTTATGGTATATGAATTATATCTCAGTAATTAAAAAAACTCCAAAGGTGATTAAAAAAAGTTAATATGTCAAGTGCTTCGAACAGTTCTTGGTACATAGAAAGAGCTATATGTGTGTTAATTATGATCCACAGTTACGATAGTTATAAGAAGACACTTGTTTGCATTTTCTTCATAAAGTATGTTTTCAGAAGCTAACTCTTCCTCTCCCCCCAGTAAGTTCAGACAGTCAAAGGTTCAGATTTATTCAGGATAAATTCCTCATGACGCCAGGGCCCTACCCCGCTCTTAAGAGCAGTGACTTCATTTTGCTCCTTCACTCTTTCCAATTCACCTCAAAGTCCTCCAAACTCTGTTTACCACTGAGACCGGGAGGAAATGCTCTACCTTTGTATGAAAAATCAACTCCGAGCAAATCTACCAGTTAAAAAAGGGTGGAGATATGAATGGACAGACACCTTGTCCTAAAAATCTAATGATCATAAATCACCAAGACCTCCTCCTTGCACTTGGCTCTACTTATTGACCGTGCAAGTTATCTCACTTAATCCTCATAACAATCCTTTCAGAGTAGCACTACTTCCTCCTAATAAATGAGACAATATGAGCTCAAAGGTATTAACGAACATGCCACAAATTACTAACTGGTGGAGTCCGGATTTCGAGTTTATATCCCTATCAAAATGCACATCTGCATATGGCATTAAAAAATTAAGAATTTTTTGGGGGGGAGACAATGGTGAAAATACTTATCCCCAATAAAGGAAGTTATTGTTATGATCCGGGTCATCAAACTAAAGCAGACCCACCATGGAGGTCTGGAGGGAGGCCTCATCGGGGCACCCAAACTTGCGCTCCCGGGCTCGCTCTCCTGTCTCCTCCCTTTCCAGGGCGCGACAGCTCGGACACGCCCCTGCGGCCTGGCTGCCCAGCTCTGCAGAGGCGCCGGGGGCCGGGGCAGAGGCCGGGCCCAGGGTGGGAGCCGCAGCGCCGGCTCCGCACGGCTCCCGGGAGGCGGCGGCCTATCAGGAAGGAGGGAAGGGTCTGCGCACGGGCTCCCGGCCTCACCTCTTAGCCTTGGTTCCCTTGAGCACGAGCTTAGTGGACTTCACATACGAGTACTCGGCCATGGTTCCGGGGACACTTCTGTGCAAGAGGCGGGAGCTGGCGCAGGACCAAATACCTCGACGGGAGCAGGGAAGGCGAGGAAGTCACAAAAAGGGAGATCGAATCCGGACTCCCTGAAAGCCCACGCCACGGAATCCCTGGTCTTCTTCACCCGAATGCGGAGGCCCAAATAAAGAAGCCTACTTCCTGTTTACTGTGCGGGACTACGGCCACCGCAGAGGGCCGAAATACATCAGCAATCGTTTGCGCGGTCTTGACTGTGAGGGCGTCCCTCACGGAGGAAAGGCGGGGTGACGCGCCCTCTGGTGGACGCGGCGGGGCTTACAGCCGCGGTTGGCGTCTCGAGCCGCTCTTGAGAGAGCTTTCTGCCGGGTCTCGGGAGGGGGCGACCGTTTGATCAGCCAGAGGATGAAGTGACGCCATCAGCCCTGCCGGTGCCGTGCTGCAAGCAGCAGACCGGGCAGGACCTCCCGGCGCGGCCGAGTCTGGGCCGGCGGCGGCTGGGAAGCCAGGAGCGTTCTTATCGGGCCTCGGACGACTTTACAAGCCATTTCAATGCCATAAAAGTTTATAGTCCTGTTTTAACTAGGGAGACTACAGTCATGTACCGGAAACAATTAGGGAATAAAATGAAGGATAATTAAATGCCAAAATTTGGGCCGCAGGTTTCACAAGTGCTGTAGGAATTCGGGTGGAGGTTGACACTGAAAACGCACGTGATCGCAGTCTTTCTGGCTAGGGTGGGTCTTGGGAGAGGTTTTCACAGCCCCAGTCACTTGAATGTTTCTCGTGCCTGCTCCAGTGTCTTCGACAGTTTTATAATTCACCTCCCTGATTCCATTTTCTCCCCATTCCAAACCATCTTCTATGGTGCTACCTGAGGGATCTTTCTAAAGAAAGAGCTGATCGTTGTTCTCCTACCTAAAATCTGTTAAAGGAAGCCTATTGCTTTCTGGAGGGAAAATCGTAGCATCACTTAATACGCTGTTGATGCTCTGGCCTCTTCTCCCACCAGGGCACCCATGTCCCCTTAGTTCCAGTCACACGAAATTACTGGAAATGTTCGAGTGCTCTGTGCTTGCTGCTGCTGCCTGGAATGCTTCTCCTCCCTCTTTCCCTCTTCACTTGGCCCCTTTTTTTCCCTTTAAGACAAATTCAGGCATCATTTCCTCCAAAAGCCCATCTTTGAATGACTTCCTGTATTGCCCTGAATATCCTGCATTTCTCATTCTATAGCTTAATTGTGTCCTTTTTTAGGGCAGAAACTGTGGCTTATTCATCCTTGTCTCACCTATACCCTGCCCGATGCCTGCTTCAGAATAGACCCTGAGTGAGTGTCTGTTAAAGTGTTAAGATTCTAAGGCCTGAAGTTAAGCTGTGGGATAATGAAGAGGGTGAGTGGTTAGAGCGTGACTTTATAGGAGGGGGTTGTGGTAAAAAAAAAAGGAGGAGAAAAATCGGATGGGTAAGGAATAACATGGAGGCCATTGGAAGTCAGTGCCTTATTTATTTATCAGCCGTCTCTGCAAAGACACCGTGCTTGGTGATAGGAGGGTACAAATATGCTTTGACTCAGGGCCTGACCTTAAGGGTCTCCATCTAAGTAAACAATGTGCAGTGAGAGGCAGTATAGCATGTAGTTAAGAGTGTGGCTTCTGGGGACAGACTGCTGGGTGGACAAACCTTACTCTCTTTATAAGCTAGGTGACTTTGGGCAAATTATTTAACCTCTATATGTCTATGCTTCTTCAGCTATAAAATAGGATGATACCTCCTCGGGTTATGATGAAGATTAAGAAAGTTAATATAGGAAAACACTTTCTAAAGTTCCTAATAGTAAGTGCATCATAAATGTTAGCTATTATTAGTAGATATTAAAGTGCCCTGAGAAAGGTGCAAACAAAATGTTGGAGCAGGATATGATGGTGACATGTTGCAGGAATTAGATGCTCCTGTCTTGTTCTAGGGATCAGGAGCAGCTTAATAGTCAAAGTGGCATCTGAGAAGGGTATTGAACAGTGGGCAGGATTTTGACAGATGGATATGGGGGAGGAGAGGCATGTCTGGTGGTGGCCACAGTATGGAAAAAAGCATGGAGACAGAAGAGTACAGGGCTTGTGTAAGGAGCAATGAATGGCCCTGTTGGTTGGAGCACAGGGCATGTAGAGTGGTGAGAACTAGGACTGGAAAGGCAAGGTGGGGTCATTTTGTAGCTGAAGCATTTGCATGAAATCAGTAAGCAGCTCAGAGGGATTTCATAGCAGGAGGTGAGATGAACACAGTGGTACTCCAGGATGATGATTGTGTAGCAGTGGGGATGAGGATTGTGCAAGTGATACCTGGACCCACCCACTCGAGCCATGGCTCTTTACGTAACGTAGAAAACATGCAGACCAGTTTGGCTTTAAGAGCCTTAGGAAATATTATTAAACTCATGATCCCTGGTGGCACCATAGAATTAGGATGAGCCCATCTCAAACCTGACTCAGGAAAGAAAATCAACACAAATAATTTGGTAGATTAGTATTCTTGCCTACTATGATAACATCTTTTCCAATATTTTTGCAATACTGCCCTTTTTCCTATAGCGTAACATTGGCTCACGTTGGCTTTTTTAGGGACATTTGGAAAACCTCCATTTCCTCATCTCTTAGAATGAGGTTAACAATAGTAGCTGTTAGGATTGTGAGGATTTAGTGGTGTACTTCATGTAGAGGGGTTATGATCCACAGGGTCAGTGCTCAGTAGATGTTAGTTGTGATTATCACCAGCCTCCTCATTATTAGGTGGTCATCACTCCACAGACAGGATGCTGAAAGCAAGGGAATGGATGCATGTTCTGAGAGAATGAGCGTAGAGAGACCAGTAGACCAAGAACAAAACCCTTCAACATGTCTATAGCAAAGGGGTAGAAAGAAAAAGTGAAGAGAGGAGGATGAGAAAGAATGAAAGAACAAGGTTAGAGTAAATTTATAGAAATCAAGACTAAAGGGAAACTCCAGGAAGAATGAAGTTATTTAATACTGAAGATGCAGAAAAACAGGATGGAAGGAAGGCCATTGAGTGAACAATTGGGTTACCTTTGAGGAAGCTTTTTTAGTAGAGCAGCAGAGAGGAGGTCGGCTTGACGTAGGGAGTAGTTGGAGAAAAAGCAAGAGCAGTTTGTTATTGACGGTTTGCTTGCATAGCAATGTAGATAAGGGATGGTACATTCCATGTTTCTGGATTTCGTTTCTTCTTGCGCAGCCACTATGTATACACAGAGTTACAACAAAAAGTTACAAAAAATAAAAATCAGACCAGTTTGTAGAACCCAAGACAGTGCATTGTACTGGAATCAAGATAAGTTCATGACTCTTCCTTCTATTGCCTTCCTCAGTTTTGAAGTTAAACAGCTGCTTTACCCCTTCATTAATTTCATTTTCAACTCAAATATATGAGGGTTTATTTCTAGGCTCTCGATTCTGTACCATTGATCTAAGTGTCTGTGTTTATGCCAGTACAACACTATTTTGATTACCGTAGCTTTGTAATGTAGTTTGAAATCAGGAAGTGTGATGTCTCTAGCTTTGTTCTTCTTTCTCAGGATTTCTTTGGCTATTTGGGGTCTTTTGTGGTTCCATACAAATTTTGGGATTGTTTGTTCTATTTCTGTGAAAAATGCGATTTGAATTTTGGTAGAGATTGCATTGAATCTATCGATGGCTTTGGGATAGTGTGGCCATTTTTGCAATATTAATTCTTTTGATCCATGAACACAACGTATCTTTCCATTTGTTTGTGCCTTCAGTTTCTTTGATCAAAGTCTTATAGTTTTCAATGTATAGATCTTTCACCTGCTTGGTTAAATTTATTTCTAAGTATTTTATTGTTTTTGATGCTGTAGTGAATGGTATTGTTTTCTTTCTTTTTTGTATATTTTGTTGTTAGTGTATAGAAGTACAACTGATTTCAGTATGTTGCAGCTTTACTGAATTAATTGACTAGTTCTAACAGTTTTTGGTGGAGTCTTTATGATTTCCTATGAATAAGATCATGTCATCTACAGACAAAGACAATTTTGCTTCTTCTTTTCTGATTTGGATGCTTTTTATTTCTTTTTCTTGCCTAATTGCTCTGGCTAGGACTTCTAGTACTGTGTTTAATAGGAGTGGTAAGAGTGGGCACCCTTGTCTTGTTCCTGATCTTAGAGGAAAAGTTTTCAACCTTTGACCATTGAATATGATATTAGCTGTGGGCTTGTCATATATGTCCTTTATTATGGTGAGGTATATTCCTTCTATATCCAGTTTGTTGAGATATTTTATCATGAAAGATGTTATATTTAGTAAAATTATTTTTCTGCTTCTATTGAGACAATTATCTAATTTTTCTCTTTCCTTCTATTAATGTAGTGTATCACATTTATTGATTTGAGTATGTTGAAGCATCCTTGCATCCCAGGGATTAATCCCACTATATCATGTTATATGATCCTTTCAATGTGTAGTTGAATTCAGTTTGATAATATTTTGTTGAGAATTTTTGCATCTGTATTCATCAGGCATATTGGCTTGTAGTTTTCTTTCCTTGTAGTGTCCTGAAAAAAAATCCTCTTGTGAAAAGTGTTTCCAATCAATTATCTCCATAAATTTATTAAGTGACTTTGTATGTCATTTTAATTTACCATGGGATTGGATAGAATAGTTTTATATTTTCAGGTAATTTTTCCCCTTAAGATAATGCTTTCAGAAAAACAGTATCTCTAGTCCCTTCTCTTGTAAACAGTCTGCTTTCATCACCATGAAAGCTATTTATTCAAGTTCTCTTTGCTTTTAACATGGCTAGGCATTGTATCATTAAGGTGAAATAATTATTTTCGTTCTTGTTTCTGGAATTACTGTAGCTTTGAAACTAGACGTATATACCTCAAACCAACTCGACACGTTCCCATGTAGTCTGCTCCCCTGATGGGGTCCCCAGGGTTAAGTGGTGATTCCTTTTCTATCTTTTTAGCAGTTCCAAGAAATATAGCTTCCTCCATAACCACAAGGCTGAGGGCTTCAAGGCAGAATTTGTGTGTTTGAATACAAAGCTAACTTCTGCTGCTTTTTGCTTGATGCTCCGTAGCATCGAGACCCCTCCTTGACTACTGTAGATGCTAATCCACCATTTTCTTTCCTTCTTTTCTTTTTTTTTCCCCTCACTGTTTGGATCAGACTTAAAACATTTAGAACATTTACTGATCTACCTATACCTTGTTTTTGGAAATTCAGTTAGAATAATATCGTAG